CAAGGGAGAAAAATATTTAATTAAAGAATCATTTAGAGAAATGAAAAAACAGTCCATTTAAATTGCTGTCTAATGGTAGATTTTGACATGACAATATGATGTAAAAAGGGATTTTCTCCTACAGACATATTGAGCTTTGAGCTTTGAGCTTTTTTTATTGAGCTTTGTTAATGGAAAAACTGCTACAGTCCAAATTCTTATTCATTTTAGAAAATACATAGACTATATATAAGCCTATCATCAATAGTATGTTTCAGTCAATAAAGGATTCTTAAACTGGCCAGGCAAAATACTTTTTCAGTTATTGTCAGGCTGTTTTTGCTCAGAAAATATAATTTCTTTTTCCATATTTGAATACTGGTAAAAAAATAAAATTAAGTTTAGGTTAGACTATGTAATCCACAATGAGACAGGGTTATATATTTACTGAAACATTATGTTGTAATTTCCAGTATTAAAGGTTTTGATGGCATAAGATTAAATTATTTCATTTTAGATAAAAGAGCTTATCAGAATATGACATTACATTAAACAACAGAATAAAACTTGACGGAATATCAGCTCCCCATAAACAGTCATTTCTAGAGACTGAGAGAAGATGGCTGAAATTTCTTTCAGTTTACTTTGCTGTGAAAAAATTTCTTTCTTAAATGCAGATTATTTTCGAACTGTGTTTTTCTTTACATTCTCCTAAACTGCATGTAGATTGCCCCTTCACTTAATTTCTTCACATGTACACATATGCTGTCATTCATTTCAGCCATAATACATAACCAACAGAAAAAAAAAAAAAAGAAAAAAAAGAACTATGTGTATTTTTTTCTTTGGTAGAAATCCATGACAAATTTGAATTTTCCTATTTACCAGGAGACTCAGGAATTTTGATCTTCCATAAAGTACATTACTGAGACCTCCCTAGACACAAGCTATGGCTTAAAGGAACTATTATTTTATCCTCCTGCTCATGGTATCCTGACTGCAGAAACTGAGATTGTTCTCTGCCTTTACACAGAGTGTGTCTTGGGCTGTGAGGAGAAAATCGCTCTGATTCTAACACCCATAGACTAGAAATAATCTCTGTTATATTAATCGGGGAAAGA